GAGGATTTGATAATTATATTTAATTAATTCATCGAGTCAGAAATCTCAACAGAATGCAGAAAGCACTGGACGGCCATTTCGTCCTATATTTGGGACTCATCAGCAGTGCGCCTACACTACCGAGATTTGAAACCCTGACAGTTAGGCTGCTATATAAAATTCTTACCAACTATTCCACCGGGCCTCAGTGACGAAGAGGTTGCAAATAGACTCAGTATAGCGACTTGGTTATAGTAGTCGTGGCTCCAGGGGCACAGTCTTATGGTTAGAGAGAACTCAGTAAGAGGTCCATCACGGAATATGTGAACGATTATGTATATTGAGTCTGATTTGCAATTTCAATTCTCGTGATGCGCACTGCTGATGAGTCCCAAATATAGGATGAAACGGCCGTCCAGTGCTTTTCTGCATTCTGTTGAGGTTTCTTTCAGACTCGACGAATTAAAATATATATATATATATATATATATATATATATATATATATATATATATATATATGTGTGTGTGTGTGTGTGTGTGTGTGTGTGTGTGTTTTGTTTATATATGGGATCATTTCCTACATTTTTCAACCTATTTCAACAAAACTTCACTTTTTTTGTTTGTGTTTCTTATTGTCTTTCACACTATTTTCTTTATTTTTACATTCAGAATGCTTTAAAAATTTCATTTACGAGACAGTTGTTTATAATAAAATTCTATTCAATCGGTAGACTCATAACGATTGAAAACAATGTTTTTGTTTGAGTTTGGGTTTGACCAATTCGTAAAAAAAACAAAAAAAAAAAAAAAAAAAAAAAAAAACTAATTAAGACTTGCGGGTCCGTCAACCTTAAACAATAATCTTTTGTCAATTTTATTTTCAGTCTTTATGGTGGTCGATACTTGATCTATCTCTTACTGTTACATCCCAGGCAACAAATAAATCTACTGCTAGTATATATATATATAGGTAATTTTTTTGTATATTTATCAAGAAGAATATATATATATATATATATATATATATATATATATATATATATATATATATATATATATATATATATCCTTACACACCCCTAAACATATAAGTATAAATAGGCACATAACAGTGAACTCTATCAAAAAAACAGAGATACATAAACAAAACACATATACATATATATACATACATATGCAAGTACACACACACAAGCCCAGATACAATATATATATTTATACACATATATAAAAAATAACATATGTACACTCACACATAGCCTATATATATATATATATAAATAATAAGTAGGAGGATTTGATAATTATATTTAATTGATTCATTGAGTCTGATAGTAACCTCAACAGGAGAAGCACTGGACGGCCGTTTCGTCCTATAATTGGGACTCATCCAGTGCATCCACTACCAAGTATCGAAACCCTGACAGTTGGGTTATCAAGCGAACAACATACCAACTGTTTAATGGGCCTCTAGTAACGAAGAGATTTTAATCAGACTCAACTTAGAATCGCTCCCATATTCCGTGGCGGAACTCTGAGTTCTCTGTAACCGTAAGGACTGTGACCCCAAACCACGACTACTCTCACACTCGGGGCACAGTCACTGCAGTTTACAGAGAACTCAGTAGATTTCACAATAATCCAGAGTCCTTTTTATAGGACGAAACGGCCGTCCAACTTCCTCTATTTCCTGTTGAGGTTTCTATCAGACTCAATGAATCAATTAAATATATAAATAAAAAGAAAGAACAGTAAGATATATAATCCGGTGTTCTTATAGGTATTTTTACAAAATAGTGTTCGATGTAAATTTACAGAGCATTAATATTATAAATTAATTGATTAAAAATATGCTTGTTTCGGCTACACAGTTCTAACCATGTTTCAAAAATGGAACCTAAAATCCACGAATTTAATTGTGCAATATATATATATATATATATATACAATGGACAATACAGGTTAAAAATTAGATAATACAGGTAAAACAAATCTGTGAATTAAGGTTATAGATGGTGTAGTTAGAGAAACCAGATGAAGTGTCATACGTGAATACAGTGACTGCATACATATTAGCATAATACAAAACATCCTAACATCCAAGCGTGAGGTTCTCCAAAACAGATTACTAGAATGTTATTCGAGAATTTTAAACGTTTTCTATGTCGTTTGTTTGCGACGGTAATGTTTTTAAATTAATGTTATGAACGTTTGAATTTAGATTTCATTCGTTCACAATACATTTGGATATTTTCTCCTGGTAAGGTTGAGAACTTTTACAGTTAATTTAATATGCGAACATGGATAGAATTGATTTTGGAAACACTCCCATCGCAAAGAAACGGAAATATTTCGAGAAATTAGTGCTAAAGGCCAAAAACGAAGGATGAGATGGAAAGCCTACTACTTTCTTAAGGAACAATTGTTTCGAATAATTTGATCCGTATGGATTTGCTTTAAATATGATCGATGTAATATCCTTCAATATATATATATATATATATATATATATATATATATATATATATAAAGTCAAGGAATACTAACCACTTATTCTACTATGTTTTTCCACCGTGCCAAAAACAATATTATATATATATATATATATATATATATATATATATATATATATATATATATATATAAAGACAAAAGGTATACTAATCACTTTATGCTACCATTATTTCCACCATAATAAAAAAACTTTTTTTTATATATATATATATATATATATATATATATATATATATATATATATATATATATATATATATGAAGAAATATAGTCTTAAGGTGTGGTATATTTATGGGATAAAGTGCTCAAAATCAGAGATAGAGCGTGTGTAAATATAAACGTGAACATAGAGGCGACAGTCTGTTTCATGCTAAACGCAATCGTCTGGCCACGATTGCTGTTATTTTTCTCGACTATATATATATATATATATATATATGATATAAAAATGAAACTCAATTTTACTCCATTTTGATGGCCGTTTCACCCTCCCCGCCCCCAGGATAATCTTCTTGGGACTTGCCAATGCTAACACGCTTGTTAGAGAAATGTTTTTTTAAGAGGGGTTTTAGCATTGGCATCCCCCAAGGAGATTATCCTGGGTGGGAATGCGAAATGCTCATCCAAATGGGGTGCAATTGAGTTTCATTTTTATGCAATTCATTTATATGCTCTATAATTAATATGTTGAACTCTCTTTGTGGATCAGTTTTAATATTCTATATTATTAGGATCTACTTGCATTACTTACACAGGGACTTTTACCTGTATATATATATATAATCGAATGGGGGGGGGGATTATGAATTTCAAGAAAACTAGAGTCCAATAATATTCAGACCCAGCAAGCATTCCCTCTGTTTACAAAGGGAAAGCTCACGCGATCTCATATACAAGGACTCTAGAAACTTGAGGTGAAATGTCGAGTGGGACCTAGATAAAATTATAAATCGGTCACCACTAAAATTTTCCACAGATTTCCTTCTATTTATTAAATGTTCAGCAATAGCAGAACCAGAACTGTTAGTCATTTGGCTATTCCTGGAGGACGGATTCAAAATCCTGGGGGGTAAATGCTGTTTTATTCTCGAATCCTTTGAATAAACTTGATAAGTCCTGGGACGAAACCGGTTGTTTTTATTTTTGCTTTTGCTTTTAAAAAATGCCTATAAATATTGTCTTTTCCTATCTATTATATATATATATATATATATATATATATATATATATATATATATGTATGTATGTATGTATGTATGTATGTATGTATATGTCCCTCTGTGTGTGTGTGTCTGAAGGGATAGAAAAAAGAAAGATGAAGAAAGAAGAGAAAATGCTTAAACTGGTCGCTGAGAGCGAGAGAAGAGGAAAAGGATATAAATATCGGTAGAGAGGAAGAGAGAGGGAGAAAGAAGACGTAAAGACTATAACTGACCGTGGAGAAAAAAAGAGAGAGAGAAAGACAAAGGAAAATGCTATGACTGACTGTAGAGAGAAAAAGAGAATTAGATAGTAAAGGAAGAGAAAAAGGCTAATAACTGACTATGGATAGAAAGAGAGAGAGAGAGAGAGAGAGAGAGAAAGAAAGAAGAGAAAAAAGTATAACTGGCTGTAAAGAGGAAAAAAGAGAGAGGGAAAAAAAGGAAAAGGCTATAATTGACCGTAAAGAGAAAGACAGAAAATGAAGAGTCAAAAGCTATAACTGACCGTAGAGAGAAACATCGAGAGAGTGGGGAGAAACAGCGAGAGATTCAATCTGTTTTTATTAATCTTCTGGGGGAGAAACAGCGAGACGGGAGAGAAACAGCAAGGGAGGGGGGAGAAACAGCGAGGGAGCGGGAGAAACAGCGCGGGGGGAGAAACAGCGAGAGATATATATAAGAAACAGTGAGAGAGGGGAGAGAAACAGCGAGAGGGGGGAGAAATAGCGGGGAGGGGGAAAACAACGGTGGAGGGGAGAAACAGCTAGGGAAGGGAGAAGCAGCGAGAGGGGGAGAAAAAGCGAGGGTGTGGGGAGAAACAGCGATGGAGGGGGAAGAAACAGCGAGGGAGGGGGAAACAGCGAGGGAGGGGGGAGAAACAAGGAGATGGCTATAAGTGAGTGTAAAAAGAAAAAGATGGAGAAGAGGAGGAGGAAAAGCCTGTAACTGGATGTATAGAGGAAAAGACGAAGAAAGAAGAAGAAAAAGCAATAACTGACCGTAGAAAGGAAAAAATGAGATAAAGAAGGAGAAAAGGCTATAAATGACCGTAGAGAGAAGAAGGAGAGGAAAAGGGTATAAGTAAACGTAAAGCGACAAAAAAAAGAGAGATAAAAACAAGTGACTATAGAGAAAAGAGAAAGAGAGAGAGAGAGAGGGAGAAAATAGAGAAACGCCATGACAGTAGAGACAATGAGAGACAATATTATATAACAGAAAAATACACTAACATTAGAGAGATAAAGAAAAGAGAAAAACATCAGAATGACCGAAGAGGGGGAAGGTAAAATGTTCAGTCTGAACTTAGAGAAAAAAAGAGAGAGACAATGAGAGAGAGGGTGTGAGAGTGAGTAAGTGAGAAGGCATAAAAAAGCTCTGATCCGAGAGAAAAAAAGCTGTAAGTGACCGTAGAGAGAGGGGGAGAGAAGAGAAAATTATATATATGACCATATAGAGAGTGAGTGAGTGGGTGAATGCGAGGCAAAAATGAAGAAAGCTATATTTAATGTTGGAGAGACAAAAGAGAGACAGATTTAGAGCAAAGAGGAGAGAGAGGGACGGGGAATAGAAAAATAAGCAATAAACGACTGAGGGGAGAAAGAGAGAGAGAGGAGAAAAATTTAACTGCCGTAGAGAATGAGAATAAAGAGAAAAAAATGGCTGTAAGCGAGCACAGAGAGGGGTTAGAGAGATGCAGCGAAAAGCAGAGAGACAAGAGAAAAACGTAACTAACCGAGAGAGAGAGAAAGAGAGAAGGCTGTTTAGTAATCGTGCAATAAGCGAGAAAGAGGGGAAAATGTTATGACAGTAGATAGAAAAAGAGAGTGGGAAGGATCGTAAGTAGAAAGAAAAATCATGATCAGAGAGAGAGAGTTGTTTCGTTGAGTGAGAGAGAGAGAGAGAAAGTGAGAAAAAAAAAAAAAAAAGAGGAACTTTATGAGAGAGAAAAAGAGAGTGAGATAGAGAATAAAGAGGAAAACGCTTATAACTGACAGTAGAGAGGAAAAGAGAGAGAGAAAGGGGAGGAAAGGCTATAATTGATCGTACAGAGAGAGGGAGGGAGAGAGAGAAAGGGGAGGAAAGGCTATAATTGATCGTACAGAGAGAGGGAGGGAGAGAATGAAAATGGACTGTAGAGAGGAAAAGGCTATAACTGACCGTAGAGAAAAAGTCAGAAAGAGAAAAGAAAAGGCTATAATTTACTGTAGAGAGGAAGGGAATAGAAAAAATACTGTAATTGACTGTAGTTAGAGAGAGAGAGGGAGAGAGAGAGAGAGGTGGAGGCATAGAAAGAAGCGAGAAAATCCTATAACTGACCATACAGAGAGAAGCGGGGGGGGGACAAAACGAAAATGGATTTTCAGATATTTTTCATCTTTCAATATAGAAAAGATTTCTACGTTTTAATATTGAAATAGCTTCCTTTATTTCAGTCTCAGAAAAAGTATTCACTATAAATGGAATTGGATCTGATACTATTAACTAGACAATAATGTTCGTAATGTAATTTCCGAAGCAGCATTCCCGAGGATTTAGGCGCGATATTCTTGTATGACTTGCCTTACGAATGTTTATCTATAAATATATTTACTACACAAAATGAATACTCAGTGGCGGACCTGAATTTTTGGGGACCTGAAACTTTAACAGATACGGGCGGCCCTTCGCAAACATTAACAATAGATTCGAAAATCCAAAAGTCAAAATAAATATGAAAAGATTCGAGCGAGCTCAACGATTGCATAACGGGACGCGGTTTGGACGCTGCAAGCCCCAGAGAAAATGTTGAGGTCATATAAAGTGGGCTTTAAAGAGGTGCTTCTCAAACTATCTGATATGGCAGACCGGCTTTTCTTTTTCTCAATGTGTTAGATACCGGTAATATTTCGTGGTAATATTAAATTATACCGGAAACGATATATATATATATATATATATATATATATATATATATATATATAGATAGATAGATAGATAGATAGATATAATAAATTAATTGATTTAAAATATGTTTTTCGCAACACAGTTCTAACCATGTTTAAAAAAGGAAGCTAAAAGCTTCGAATTTAATTTTGTAATTAAACTAAAGGCATTAGTTCCATTTCATCCTCAAGCGAATTTTATTTTATTTTAATTCGCTTGAGGATGAAATGGAACAATGTCTTTAATTTAATTTAAATATTAAATTTGTAATTTTTAGCTTCCATTTTTAAACATGGTTAGAATTGTGTAGCGAAAAAAAAAAATATTTTAAATCAATTAATTTTTAATAAAATGCTCTGAAATTTACATTGAGCACTATTTTGTAAAAATAAAAATATGTATAAAAACACCAGATTATATAACTTACTCTTCTTTCTTTTTATATATCTATCTATCTATCTATCTATCTATCTATCTATCTATATATATATATATATATATATATATATATATATTTTATATATATAATAAATGTTGACGATTTTTGGTCTTACATTTATTTTACAAAAAGTAATTCAATATCAAAATATATAAAAATGTTATATAGGAATAAAGTGTCGATACCGACACTAGAGTTTGAACCCAGATCACCAGAGAGCAAACACAGGCGATCCCATTTTGAATAAGTAGATCACGCGATGTTAAAGGAAATGTATATATGAGAATTAGCATGTTGTGTAATTTCTATACTATCCTCTATGAGGGTACCTCAAGTTGGTGTAATAGCAAGCTTGTCTCGCAAGAACAATTACGAATGAGTAGTAAGTTCGATCCTCGCTGGGTGCCCCTTTCTTTCGGCCTTGTGCCACATCTAAGGTACGTTTAGAAAATCGTTTATTAGCAAGCTTGCCTCGCTAGAACAATTACGACTGAGTAATGAGTTCGATCCTCACTAGGTGCCCCATACTTTCGGCCTTGTGTCACATCTAAGATACGTTTAGAAAATCGTTTATTAGCAAGCTTGTCTCGCCAGAACAATTACGAATGAGTAGTGAGTTCGATCCTCACTGGGTGCCCCGTACATTCGGCCTTGTGCCACATCCAAGCTACGCTTGGAAAATCGCTATACTATCCTCTATGTGCACCTTTGAGGCGGTGTAATGTTTAGCAAGCTTGTCTCGCTAGAACAATTACAACTGAGAAGTGAGTTCGATTCTCACTAGGTGCCCCATACTTTCGGCCTTGCCACATCTCAGCTATGCTTAAGACAATCATTTTTACCATGTGTAGGTTATCCTTACCTGGCTTATGTCAGAGGGTATCCCCCAGACGAGGCTCTGCCGAAGGGCAGAGTCTCTTCTCGGGAAGCTGACTCCGTTTTTTACGTGGTCTAGAGGGAATTTTTGCCCGAGCCTACGGGTTCGGATAGCCCACTTTAAACTCGGTCTTCTGTCCCCTTTTGCTGTGTGGGGCAGCGGGTGAATAATTATACTATCCTCTCTTACTAAACGGATCACTCTTCCTACACTATCCTCAATCTCTATACTATTCACTATAGTATTTCTCCATTCAGTGGTTACTATTCGAGCGAATATTATCGAGCAAGTACTATTAGGGCGAGTGTTATTCGAAGGCGTCTGACACCAGTATTGTTCAACGGCGTTACTATTGTTGTATCTGCGATTACAAAGTCTCTACTACAAGGACGAAAGTGACAACGAGTATTCGTTGACATTACAAAAATCACCACGAGTATTCGTTGACATTAAAAATGTGGCAACGAGGGTTCGTTAACATCACAAAAAAACGTAATAAAAATAAACAGTTAACACAAAAACAAAAATATTATATAACCTTAATCTTTACAAACGATTCCTTAGCATGACCTGGACTCTGACCGCGTTGGATAGCTAATGGTTTGCGTGCCGGCACCGGTCAGCGGACAACCACTTTGAATAGCACTGGCTTAGAGCAACATTAGCAATTTCAATCCATTAGCTTATGATTCTATCTCTGGGATTAGGGGCCCCCTCTGGGATTAGGGGCCCTGGAGTTTCATAGCAGATTCACGTCTATGAATGCTGGACAATCTCATCGCAGATTAAGAAGAAACTTGAAGGTGCAGAAATGTGGTTCTTCAGAAATATGCTGGGAATGTCATAGACTGAACATATGAACAATGAGGAAGTGCCTACAATCTGCAAAAACTTAAATGAAACGCCAACTGCAATCATCTGTTTTCCCCAAATCCATTCTTAAATAACAAAAAAAAAAAAACTTCATTACAAGAGTTACAAAAGACGAGACATTATGGAGAGACATGATCACCTACGTCCTAAAATGACACGTCATATAGAAGAAGAAGATAACTTGTCAAAATTAAATGCAACGTCAATCGCAATCATCTGTTTTCCTGATATCTGTTCTTTTATTGTCCTTTCTGCTCAATGAAATCTTTCCTTCCCAGTAACGCCCTTGCGTCTTAGTAACTTTGAAGCCTTGCTTGGGGTGAAATGATTAAAACGAATGGGAAAAAAAAAGGATACAACAGACAAATGACATTTCTATACCGCATAATTTGGAAAGAGGGCTTAGAAAATTTGACACACAAGGGACAAAAGAAAACAGCGTATAAACTTACTTAACGAACTTGTTTAATTGGATGACAGCAGAAGGTTTAGGGCAGATAACAATAATACAAACATTGGTAAGAGTCACAAAGGACAGGATATTGTGGAAAGCCACGAGCGCCTACGTGCCTGAGAAATACAGCATATAAAAGAAGATACCCAGACAACAGGTCTAGTATTTGCGCAAACATTATCAACGAAAGTGCGGAACAGACTGCCTACTCTCTTGCAAGCCATTTCGTAGCTCTGTTCCTACACGTCACATCACCCGCTAGACTCCATGTCCCAAACACTCAGCGACAGACATTTATAATTAAATAAGAGAGGCGATCTTCAAAAGGCACAGACAACGAATTGCAATGAAGGTCTCTCCGACATCGAGGACATCTCATAAAAAAAAGTGTGGGGGGGATGGATTAGTGTCTAAAGAGTGGAAGCCGATGGGCCATCAAAGGAATTTCTCATTCGGTCGACCAGATACGGTAATGGATGGACGGATGGATAGGCAGCCATTCGGCCAGCGTTCTTATCTCCGGACACACTCTTCTTTTCTTCGCTTCAAAAATCATCATTGTCATTATGGAAATAACCCGAGGGAGAAATGAATTTTTGATCCACTTCCTCTGAGAGAAGACCAAATAATAATAATAAAAAAAATAATAATAATAATAATAATAATTTTCACTTTCAGGTAGCGTTACAACTATCGGAGCTGAAAGTCTAGTTGGCTAACCGGGTTAGAATCAAGTTAAAAGACAAAAAAAAAAAAAAAATTGAATCGATATCTACTTCAGTAGAAAGGGTTCTTTAGCCTTGGATAGTAGTCATTCTAGCAGGAATATTCAGAACTCAAGGTCACAGCAATTCGCAGATGTTGAAGAATAGGACGCAGTGAAGAAGCTCATCTTATAGGCACAATGTGATGAGTTTAATGCTCACAGGAGTTTTCCTTGACGCTTTTCTACATCTATCTATCTATCTATCTATCTATCTATCTATCTATCTATCTGTCTCAGTCTATCTATCTATCTATCTATCTATCTATCTATCTATCTATCTATCTCATTCTGTTCGGATCTATCTATCTATCTCATTCTGTTCGGATCCATCTATCTATCTATCTATCTATCTATCTATCTATCTATCTATCTATCTATCTCATTCTGTTCAGATCTATCTATCTATCTCATTCAGTTCGGATCTATTTATCTATCTACCTATCTATCTCATTCTGTTCGGATCTATCTATCTATCTATCTCTGCTCATTATCTATGTATCTATCTATTTATCTTTCTACTGTATATACTCGCGTATTTTGCGACATTTGAAGACATGACTTTGAAGCTGATTTTTAAGAGGGTTGCATCATACACGAGATATAAAATTAGCATATGTACTGCTGGTCCTGGCTACGCTGTTGACCAAACTTTCTATCTATCTATCTATCTATCTATCTATCTATCTATCTATCAACTAAATCTTTCAATTTATCATATATATAGATATATATATATATAGAGATAATTTATTCAAAAATTATAATATAAATATGTTATAAAACCACTACAAAAATAGCCAACACGACTGGTGTCTTATCAAGTGATTGTGTTGAATGTAGAAGACCAGAAGTGTTGAAACGAAATGGCAATTTTGTAAAAATGATTCTATACCATATTTATGTCATAATTCAGTACTATCATTTATATATATATATATATATATATATATATATATATATATATATATATATATAAATGTAAAATATA